TGCGAGCGTTCTCCAGGTTCTCAATGTTATCAGCCATTTCCAGAACATCGGAACCCCAGCAAGAGCGAATATGCTTATGCATAGTTCCCGTTGACTCTTTATCAGTAGTATCCAGGTAACGCGCAATGCTCTGCTTGCATCCTTTAGCAGCACAAGAGAACACATGACACTTGCGACGATGACGGTACTCGATGGCTGGGATGGGATGGAAAAATGCATAAGCGGAAGCGGACCATTTCTTCATCATACGTTCTGATGGTATGAATCACAGTTAGTAATACTGATGCTAATGGCTAATGATCACGTACCAAGCTCTGCTTCATCAGTCTCCTCAATGGCTTGAACCTCATGGACGGAGCTGTGGTCCGAATCAGAGTCCGAGTCTGATGGGTTCTCGAGTGCAGGTAGGTCGGCATCTGAGGTACGAGACGGCGCAATAGAGGGTGATTTGGTACGAGGAGGAACTTCTGATGGGGCTACCGATGGGGCTACGATGAAAAGTAAGTGATGTTTGACACTGTGAAAGGAACAGGTACTCACGAGGTGATGCGACAGTCTTCTTGCCTTTGACAACACCTGATGCAATCTTTTTGACTTTTTTAGCGACACCTTTGATCTTCTTTTTGGCCTTGGAGACGGTTGACGAGATGGAGGTAGTTGACGTAGGAGACTGAGCTCTTCCTGCTTTGCTCCGCTCTGTCTCGGTTCGCTTGCGCTTGCCAGAGAGTAATTCAGGAGGGTCTTCAGCAGGGGCCATGATGGAATGGTGCAAGTAACGATGGCTGGAGTATTCTTCTCTTTATACCGCTGTATAAAACTTTAATTGTAATACTGTACAGTACTGTCTGGCAGCTCAGATGGCAGTACGGGACTACCCATGGAGGCAAATTCTGTGCGGGTTTTGTCGGGTGCATGGCGGGTATGGCGTCGCTGACCCGTACCTGTACCCGTCAGTACCCGTACCCGGAACCCGGAAAAACCCCCCATACCCGTGCACTACACTATTTGACACTTGCTCTTCGCTCTTGACACTATTGGTACACACTCATATTGTGCCAATACGTGATTGCCATGTCATAACTCGTCCACATTTATCTTTTATTGGCCGTTATCATTTCAACTTCACAGCATAGGATCATTTTCACTTTCATCATCGTATCGTCGCCCACTTGGGTAGTCTCCAAGCAGACTTAGGATCGTTTTCGCACCAGTATAGGACCAGTTTCAGTATAGTTTTCGTATATGACAGTCCCACGAGTGGACTTGAAGGTTAGTTTTGACATAGGATAGGATCGCTTCAGTACAAGACCAGTTTTCGACATCGACATCAGTATTTCCGTATCATTTAGGATCAGTACCCCACCATTGCCAGTATATTCCCGTTCTCACTCTCAGTATCATCACCCAGTTTCCGTATTTCCACATTTATTCTCGACACCATGCCCTCAGTACTTCGTTCGCGCTTCTCCCACCGCTCTCAGACATAGTCCCACGTTTTCACATCGTTTCCCCACTCCCAGACTCAGTTTCACGTGTTTATTACTGTCCTCTTCGCTCGCTTCACTAGGATTGCCATCTAGCAATGTTTTCTAGTCTCGTTTCGCGTTTCTCTTATGGATTCGTGGTATTCACATCATACCTGTTTCTGTTCCCTCTCATTTCAAGAGATCCTTACCGGCTTACAGCCAAAGCTACTAGTACTCGACTACCAAGCAGTACTACTTCACTGACTGAAAAGTCGCAGTGTATACTTGCATATAGAGGAATTGGTTTACTGCATGGAGGTGCCCCGAACCCACTCGCACACACGATCGCCTTGATTGCCATGTTACCACATTAATTACCCAATCTCATTCTGAGTTGGTGTTGCCATTGCCACGGAAGTCTAGGCTCATCAGTGGTTGTGGGTTCTTGAGCTGAGAATACTGAAGGAAGCTATTAACACAGAATGGAAACCATATGTCTCCTTCTATATTTTGTAGTGTCATCTCTAAGGAATCTTTTGTTACTGCAATGTCTCAAGGATTCCATTGTCCTGTCATGTACAACAATGACTAGCTTCAAAATCGGATAGAAATGTTTCAAGATCAAACTTCATCAAGTCACCTATTTCCCTTATGTTATGTCCATGCTCACTTTACAGTTTATGGTGTGTAATACTGACAAGAATATGATAAACATTACTTTACTGAAGATGAACGTGTACGAATTTTGGCAAAATCTTGGTGTTGAATTAAAAATACATGATACCAGTCGGGTGAGGGCCATCGCATCTGCATGGCATTGCTGAGTCCTATGTTGAGATGTCAGCCATGTCATAGGACATATGGAAAAGCACATTTTGATCATCCAAGGGGGAAAATAAGATTTAGAATTCCAAAAAGAATACACCCAGAGGCAAGTGGAGCAGTACACCCTGAGAGGACTCAGAGGCGGATCCTGCACCCGCTCAGATTCCTGTTTGGCAGTGTTCACCAATGGTCCAAATGCCAAAGACATCGATATGAAGGTCATCATGGAAAACGGAATGTCCTGATGCTGACATTTCGTCATCTAAAGTCAACATATTCTCTTACACACGGGCGGATTGTATTCAGCGACGAATCACAAGTATGGGAGTTGTGCCACGGCCGCAACAAGGATAGAAGCATTGATGAGGTGACGTTCACGGCGGCGGCCACTTTGGAGCACGTAAACCTCACTCCGGTTCCAAAGTTACTTCCTAAGGCAGCACACTCGCAAGCCAATCGCAGGAGGCATACGAGATGAATTAAGATTCCTTAGCGAAACCATTACCATCACTGACGTCGACCACGGCATCAGAAGAAACGCTGATGGGACTTCGTCAGAGGGGGCAGGTCAGCTCGGGGAACGAGAGCCGGAGAAATTTCAAGACGACGAAGCCATTGAGTCGTCAATCCAATACTTCAGACCTCACGCCGCAGTCGAGTATTTAGCCAAGATACACCACCCGGATAGACATTGAGGAGATCACTGCGAATAAATTTGTACAGCGCCAACATTAGCTTCGAATATGGTGAGGAAGAGCAAAAGAAGCAGCGTCAGATGGATAATGGAGAGGAGTGCCCGAGCTGTAGCTAGAAGAGAAACAGGGCGATGAGAATGAGGAAAAAGGAAAATGAGCCAGAAAGATCAATTGAAAAGAAATATTCCAGGGAGAAGAGAAGACATTCAGGAACGCGGAGAAGTCGTTATCAGGGCAATAAGGTAGAATACGAGAGGAAAAGAAGCAGAGTTGAAAAAATCGGCATCGAATACGATAAGCCCGGCAATCTCTAGAAAGATAAGATAGGTCGAATAGAAATTTCCCATGGGTCGTTCAGGACAGCATTATAACCGAGTAATCCTATATACATAGGACTCGGAACTTTTCAACTCCCTCAGACACCGCAGCCTTGTAATTTCTTCCAGTATCCCAGCTCGGAGGCCAGTCCGAAGTAGATGGGGGAAAGATTATATCCTCTGAAAGGAACACAGCATCCTTCCACCAATGAGCTTCTTCACAGAGTCGCCGCATTATTGAGCATATCCGCATCAGCCCTTTGTGTGACCCTGCATCATTGTCAAAACGCCAATCCCTATCACCCGCGGCAAATGATATGAGAGCGTTCTCCATGCGGGAGAGATATAGCTCGAGACTGTTTCATTCACAATTACCCCATGATACCAAAATTGACAGTATCCCGCAGAGCCTTCGCAGACAATGCTATGCTTCGCCGTCTCGAACATACAACGCCGATAGTTATTCCAGTCAGACTGGAGGTCGAGTTTAAGCTGTTCATCAGCCCGGAATTGTCGGAGCCTGAAGCGTCAATGGTATGAAGGAATATTTCGGGAAGGGTCTCGTTCAGAAGGCGGCGGCTAGGAGACGACATGGATACATATTGTTTGACTGTTCTTCGAGAGAAGAGGCGAGACTCCGCAGTTTGAATATCTTGGTATCGTACTTACTACTTGTTTATTTCTCTTTGAATTTCTCTGACTGGATGGCAGCATCAGATACTAGTAGAGCGGAGCCATTTGGACTGACTCAAGGTAGAGTCCTTTGGGAAGGAATGGTATTGTCTATTGGTGAGAATCTGCGATGGCCACAGCTGCAATTGAGGAATTGTTCATGTTGAAGCATTTTGCATCTACATCATCGAGTTGGAATGACTTCAAAATGCAATGAAAGATATTCGTTACCGAGTGGTGACCAAAGTACCGTCAAATCCTAACTGCTTGTCCATTGATCCCCCGAGAAATTTTTGTTTCTCAACCTCCTTCAGAGCATTTATCTGGGCCCGAATTACCGCTCGACGTGATAAATTAGCAAATGGATTAGAACACTGATGGATTTCCCGAGTGAGCATCCCTATAACCTATTATAATTTGCGGTGGCCTGTGGGTCATTAGATAATAACATTCACCTGAAGGTACAACTCTGCATCAATTGTACTTACTCCCGCTGCGGCCTATTGCGAGTCCGTATCTCCGGAATGTATAATTAAATTTCTGTCTTCGACCGAAGCTCGTGCTGTTCCCAATCATACATGACTTGTCTCTTCGCGCTCATATTCATAATAGTTCTTCCTTTGAGTACACCTGCTATGTATCAACGGCGTAGCTCCCTGTCTGCTTGGGTTCGGATCCCCATAGTGGTGTTTAGGTCATTGAATTCGTTATTTTTGCACCGCAGGATAATGCATTTCCTGATTTAATTCTAAAGCTCACGGAACACTTCAGTCGACATCAAGAAAGTGTTTTCAAAAGACGTCTGACATAGTTCCATATGTTCAAATCATTCCCCCGAGTTAACCGAACCAGAATCACCGAAGATTGTATAGGATCGTCCGCCAGCAAAAATGAAGTAACCCACAGCCTTCCCAACCTATTCATGTCTGAAGATATGTTGGTTTCTCATTGCAATGTATCAGACGACAGAACATTGATTGTATACCATTATCCTAGTGACACCCTTTGTCAATACTTTGATGAGCCGCTGCCGTGCGGAATCGAACCGCAATCATCCCAGTAAACATCCCGGATTATTCGTCACATGGACCGGGGCGATCTCCCATTGATCTACAGCAGCTGATTCGATGAATGCGCGTACATATGCACTTAGTATAGCTGACTTACCGTCAGTTCGAAAGGAGTGCGTTGTATCCATTGACAATTTGCATGGGTGGTTGGCAATCGAAAAGCTAAACAAGAACGCCGAGAAACCGTGCGCCGTCAACATTGCAAACTGTTAGTACACAACGGCAGAAAAGAAGAATTTTGCTCACTGTCAGATAGTCATCACGAACGCTCAATGGGAGGATCACGGGGATACCTGAGCGTACTAGGAAGCGAGACCTTCCTGGAAGGACAAGAACCAGACGGAGAGTTCGACACGATGACCTGCGTGGATTGAACAAGTTGATACATGAACGGGGGTAGAGCATTCCTTACCCTTGCGTCTTGCGGATGAGATCATCGAACAATGGAGAAAGGGCTCGGTCCCGTATTCTATAGCTAAGGCTGTCTGTTATATAAAAACGCCAACAGATCAGAGATAATGACTCACGGGACTGGGAAATACGGTGATCGAAAGCTGTACTAGAGCCTCGCCTGAGAACCCGTCTCCCCTATGAACGAGTAGTGCCTTGATAGAGTTGACAATCCTGAGCGCTCGAGTCACGGTGATGAAGCCCCCCCCCCCCAAGGCTTACTGTGGAGCGCCACCACTTCTTTAATTCTCGGGATCTGAGCACAGCTATTATGCGTACGAAGCCGTGAAAAGAGACAACGGGGAGACCTTGATGTATCTCCGTTAAAGATCAGCGGCGGGAGCCTCCGATACCCATACAAGCGCGGCAAGCGGACAAGTGATAGCATGTACGTCCTTTGCTCCCGCTTGGAGCGCATATAATCAGCATAAGAGCAGAACGAAAGGGGGGGACGGGCCTATCTCAGGAACTCGCAGGAACAATGCGTAGATCTCGCTACGATGGAGAGACAACGAAGATACCGACAATATGATACACGGTAACGGGCGAGTCTGAAGGGACATTAGCTGCATAAGACTTAGATGTGACGCTGGAGCGAACCTGTGCGAAGAAGTCCCACCTGCGAGGGTGAACGCGCGCCTATCTATGTGGACTGCAAGCGTCGGGCTATCGAGAGGTTGTCGTGAAAGGGCATGGGATGAGCATCTGGGTATCAAGACGGAAGACTGCTGGAGAGGTACCCGTGTGGATGTCAGGATGGCCCGCGTCTGGGTACCACGTCGTTAGAGCGCCAAGATCTTCATCATAATCTAATCAACATCAGAGGAAAAGCAAGCTGGGAGATTAAAATAACTCACCAATACAGCGCGCGGTATTACTCTCCGGCCAGCTCTCAAACTCGTCCTGGATTCGTTGGGTCCTGTCATCCATCGGGCATTGAACGTCGGGGAGATTGTTGCGAAGGATAGTGTGTTGTTGATGGAGACTGCCGCTCAGGGCGACTAGGGTACCAGTGCAGAGGGAACTGCGCGCATTGTGGTGGAAGAGAAAGCATGGTGAAAATTGCAAATTGCAATCATCGGCAATCAGCACGCCGGAACCGGCCCTGAAACGTACCGGCTACTAAGTTGATGCTCTATTCTAATTACAGCCACGTCGCAAGCTGAAGCCCGGGGAAACGATGTACGCTAATATTTGACCAACATAAGCCGGTACTGCATAAACTGGAACTGCCGCCTTGCCGAAAACTGTGGTCGTCGAATCCCACGTTCGCAGCTCCGGCCGTCTGGTTCAAAAAGCACGAATTGTAGAGATAGATTCCGTACCTGATGAGGTATAAAGACCGTATGAGCGTAGATGTGAATCGCTCTCGATGGTTGGTGCCCAAAAAAAACTTGTTTGTGTGACTCACCCTGCCATTGAGAAGAAATGGATTCGAACCATTGATTCCGCGTTTCTGCCGGTAAGCTACTATTTCCCTTGTCGAGAACAGTTCACCTGATCTTTTGTTGTAAATACAGAAAGGCATGTGAAAGCGAGGGTCGATGCCCGCGCTGAGTTCATGAGTGGCTGCACAAAATTCGGATCGCTTTCCTATTAACTTTCTGCTCCACATCTTTGGAGATCGGTCGATGGTAAGTATGGTCGCGCTTGATTCATATTTCTCTCTATACTCTGAGGATAGCTTACGACAGCTACAGTTATTCTTCCAAGCATCCAAATAATCTTAGCTCCCTCTGACATCGGAAGCTGAGATCCTTTCCCAACACAGAATCGCACCGGACGAATACGTTCACTCATAGTTCAGCGTACATCTAGTCTTTCCGCTGTCGTCTGGCTTAACTGTCGTAGCAGCCATCAGGATCTATTTCCATCCAACTTTTGCTTGAGATCGAACCACGGTGCGTGAGCATACATGTAACGATTCTTCTGGGATGTTTTATAAGGGTTTTGGGTATA